AAATATTTAATTTAATATGCAAGATAAAACAAATGTTGTGCTAGCAACCATATGTTGCCGTTTGCTGCAGTATTTTAAATTTGGAAAAGAAAAATTAAAGTTGAAATGCTTAGCTTGATTTGTCTTCAATGGTGGAGTTTAATTTCAATTTTAGATTAGGAAAGATTCCTGCCATGACCAAGATTTGTCTTCAATGGTGGATTTTAGGCACCAAGACAAGAAGACTAACCTGTTATGATCTGCTGAACTACTGACCTGTCGAAAATTCATTGGATGCTTGCATTGCCCCGGCTTAATGGCATAAGGCCTATGCCTAGGCCCCATAGAAAGGGGGCCTAATTAAAATTAAAATTTAAATTTACACTCGTAAAAAATGAGATAAATTAAAAAGTGTAGTCTTCATCTAAGTATGAGACACCATTCTTCTCTCTATTAACAGATCATAGGTACTAGAGTTCCTACATTGAAAGGCTCATATTGTTCGGAGATATTATTATTTCAACGTTGAAAATTCTACCTTTTCTAGATATCTCTTTCGGTTACCTTCTACTTATTAAAGCTTTCAATTTTTATTTTAGTGGGACACTTTTATTTACAGAAAACTTTTAGAAAAATATTTGTGAGTGAAACAATTTTTAGATCTCCAAATTTTGTTATTATATTCATTTCTTTCTCCAAACAATCGAGAGATCTCTTATAAAACCTTTACTAATTAACTTGACGGAAGAATTTGAAGGTAATTTTTTAATCTATGCAAATAATATTATGTATATAAATCATATAATATTTTATTTTTTTCTCAAATTTATTTTTATTTTCTTAGGTGATTCTCTCTAGGTTTACTTGATTAGATGTGACAAGCAAATACAATCGAGTGTCAAAGTTTCTTACTCTTTTATTATTATATTTTAATTTTATTATTTGAATAAAATGTCTACTATAAAGAAATAATTTGATGAGATTGAAAATAAAGACATAAAATTATCTCGTTGAAGAATCTTTTAGAATTAATTATTTTACATGTTTAGTTGATCATGCGATTTCCTCTCTTTAAAATAGATTTGAACAATTTAAAACATATAAAGATAATTTTGGTTTTCTTTATAGTTTAGAAAAATTAAAATCACTTGATGATGATATTTTGAAAAAAAAATTATTTAAATCTTGAACACTTTCTAAAGCACGATATGCTTTCCGATATTAATGGTTTAGATTTATTTTCAGAATTAAAAGTTTTAAAAGAAATTATAACTATGGAAATGAAAACACCACTTGCCATATTAAATTTTTATAAAAAAGGTAAATTCTTTTCCAAATGAATGGATAACATATATAATATCATTAACTATTCATGCTACCGTAGCTTCGGCTGAAAAAAGTTTTTCAAAATTAAAATTAATAAAATCTTATTTAAGTTCAATTATGTTATAAGAAAAATTAAGTAATTTGACTATATTATCAGTTGAAAAAGATTTGCTTTGTAAACTTGAATACAAAAATTTAATTAGAGATTTTACATCTCGAAAAACAAAAAAAATAAAATTAAAATAATGTTTAATATTTATTTATTTTATAAAAAAATCTCTAAAATATTATTTTGCCTAAGGCCACATATATTATAAAGCCGGTCTTGGATGCTTGGCTAAAAGAAAATTAGCTTTACTACATTTTCTTCTTTCTCTCGTTTCTAACCATGAAAGTTAACAGGATAGAATTTTCTCAATGAAAGGTAAATGATTTGTCAACGGGTTGTTGCTCATTTTTTACAACTTAAAAATTCGTAGTTGAGAATATATACATGTGTGCGTATTCATGCGTGTGTGACCAGGCTTTTCTCCATGTGCTTTTGCTTGGATCCTTGTTGATCGTATTGTATTTAGTCACATTGATGACTTGAAACTTGGGTCTACATATTCTCATTGCTAGTTGGCTTTGGCTCTTTGTTTATTGAATTTTCATTAAAACATTTTGTTAAAAAAAGAAAAGAACGATAGCCTGCTACAATTGGATTTTAGTAAAGGAAAGATTAGAAATAAGTTATATTTGTGGTTTATCAAAAAGTATGTTAGATTTTTTTACTAAAGAATGGAAGAATGCATCTTCATTACATAATAATTAAATAAATAAAATTTGAAATTATTTTTTTGAATTTTTTTAATAAATTATATAACTTGTAAACTATGTCTATTTATATAATGAGAAATAATTTATTTAATTCTTGATATAATTGCTCAACAACAACAAACGAATGCTATTTTTTTTTTTTTAGGTATTTTCAATATCATATATTGAAGATGGAACTAATTATCTTCAGAGTAGAAGGAACAAAGTGTAATTTGTCCCAACAAATGGGATGTAAAATTTAAATTCTAGACATTAATAGAAAATTTATCTAATAATTAACTCATTTACTATTGGATCAATAATTTATTGGTAACAAATGAACACTGTTGATTGATCTTAATGAAACACAACAATAGGATCAACCCACAACTTCCTTATTGGAACAGAAGAAAATTAGCTCAAGGCTTAGGTAATTCAAAAGGACACTTAAATAGCTTAAGGACTTAAAATGCAACTTGGTTTGCTTATCAAGGGTAAACTTCAATGATGGATCTTAAACCCAGCATTGGAGTTATCTTGTAGTTACTGAAACCAGCATCAGAAGAAAGTTTAGCCCATTCTTCCTCATTTCTTTCCTTGCCAGTTACCAAAATCATCATGAGCATATCGAAGAATATTTGTGTTTCAATCGATTTATCGTCCCCTTTCTTGTTCTCCATCATCATGTCTCTGATAATCACCTTCCCTCCTTCCCTGCCCTTAATTGCTTCTTTACATTTTTCAAGTATCTTAACACATTCTTCATCGTTCCAGTCATGTAGAATCCACTGTTTTCATCAAGAAAAAAGAAGAAGAAGAAGAAGAAGAAAAAGAAAGAAGAAAGAAGAGTTAATTAAAATATTTCAACAAATATTAATGCATGCAAAGAAAAACTTATCAAATTTAATTATGTGTAACAAATGATAATCTAGGATTTTAAGCAAAATAATGAAGGAATTTAATTCATCTATTATATTTAGAGTGCATTTGGACTGACATATTGATTATTTTTTGAATAATTATCAAATAAATATTTTGTCGAAATCATTAATAATTTCAAGCAAAACACTATTGTATATCAACCAAAGCAGTATGAATTGATCAATATAAAATGCTTTCCATGAATATTATATTTTTCTTTAGTAGTTTCAATTAAAAACAGCAAATTGACTAGGTAAACTCATGTATCTTTTTAATTAGCATAGTTGTTATAAACGATTGATGCCAGGAGATCTGGAAATCATTTTTTTTTTTTTTTTTTTATGTTTACATATAGTAGAATATGACCTTACAAAACTTCTTTCTACAGAAAGGTAACTAAGGATAAGCATGCAATCTCATCATCATCTTTGTAATGTTGAAAAATCATGATACAGATACCAATTTGCTCTTGATAAAACTTCAAATCTGCTATTCTCCCAGAGAGATACGTCACTTGTGCTTCACCACTAACTTATTCCGTTACATATTAAATGAAAAAACAAAAACAAGGTAAAATTGTTGTGTTGTCATCGTTGATTAGTAAACAACGATGATGAAATGTCAAATATAGCTAAATTGATTGCCTTCAGTTGATGATCAAATGAGTTTAAACAATCAATGTCATCAAATAAAAAACGAAAGTGGGCATTGCATATTTTTCTGATTTCTGTATATAATATTCGGGAAAGGGTCATGGGCGGCCAAGGGATTTCGTAATTTCGTATATTAGACAATGATTTTATTTTAACATGTTTTCAATGCTCATGTCTTCGTATTCATAAAAAAGAACATGTCATTACGAATGAGAAAGAGATTTGTATTGTTAAATACAGATGTATCCTTATAAGTTATCTGTTTAAAAGGTGGATAGTTTAGCAAATATAGAGAGTGAAATAAATCACACACTCTTGTAATCTTCGAACAACAAACATACGTAGTAAACTCCTATATTATATCAACTTTCATCAACCATAGATAAGTAGTGATATTATGCTTGGGTTGATCTGACTTTAAAAATAGTGTAATAGTCGATCAAAGAATTAATAAATGTGTTTAAACACTTGTACCGTTGTTCACATGTGTTGTCTACTGTAGAAAACTTAATCAATGAAAAATATGGTCAAGGGAAAAACAAGCTTAAAACAAGAGAAAACAACTTGTGTTTCAGAATTGTCATCAAATCATGAACTCCGGTCCTTCACTAATTAATTCTTATCTCTTCCTTTTTAACATATATATATATATATATATATATATATATATATATATATATATATATATATATATATATACACACACACCAAGCACCAAAAAATACTTTTGAATAGTTTTCATTAATATAGTCAAACAATGAAAAGTAATATCTGTTTCAAAAAAATATTTTAAACAAGTTATTTTACATGAAACAAATGAAATCTTATATTTAATTTGCAAAAAAAAAAACTAGTACAAAAATACTTTTAATTGTAAAATAAATAAATAAAAAACAATTTAACTGGAAATAGTCCTAATGTACTTTGGATCTTTTGTTTTTTTTTTTAATTGATTTTGCTTTATTTTTATTTTTTTCTTGTTCTTATCTCTGCAGTTGGTTCTCTGTATTATTATTATTCTATTGGCTGCTATGCCTTTAACGTTTATTAATTTAATCTCTCCACTTATCAATAAAATAAAATCCTACACCAGGATTTCCATTATTAATGGTCCCATTAATGCATCTTAAAAATAAATAATCTCCAACATTATTGATTTTGCAATGGCATCTTATACGTTGCGGATATTTTAGATTTTTTGCACTCCCAATTATGGCCCCAGACCATGAGTAGGGAGGCCGACAACATAGTAATTGATGCCTAGTTTGTGGAGAGACTGCACCCAATCAGTCTTGCTCTGCATGTCAGGTAAGTCACTTCAATATGATATGGATAAATAATAGTGGATCTGATGATCAGAAGGTTGGTGAGCTGTTGGAATCTAAATCCCGATATAATAAACCTACGCGTTTGTTTGTTTGTATCTGTGTATATTAAAAGGGTTTATCCCATGTGTCTTTAGGCAACGTTTTGAAAACTGGTTATCCCTACATTTTATTCAAATTTTCATGTAACTTCCTCGATTTTTAACCACCGACATACAAGATGCTGATACCTAACAATTTTAAAAGAATTGGCTTAATGGCTGTACTATTTAATTTTAAGTCTAATACCAAGATATGAAAATTAAAAATTCCTAAATTTATTAGATTCGTCATTGATAATTGATTATAAAGTATTGATAATTGATTATAAAGTATCTTGAATTATTGATTATTTTTTTTTAATACTTTTTGTTTAAGTCTATGATTTTTTATTTTATTTTTTTATCTGTTATTAAATTATTCCTTTCCATTGATCAATCTCAAGCAATATATAAAAAACAAGTGAAGACATTAAAACAATAACACACATGTTAAAAACTCTAATCATAGAACATATATTGTTGTTTTATGATTTTATGTGTCCTTCACATGCGTATAATGTGATCTGAAATTTATCAATATAATAAAAATATTTAATTGTAAACTACAAAAAACTAAGAACCCAAATCAAATATATATATATATATATATATATATATATATATATATATATATGATCCAGCTTTAGCAAAGGGAGATAGAATATTTGATAGACTTAGGTGGTGTTTGATAAAACTACAAATTAAGTATTGAATCGTTAAGTACTGAATTTTAAGTGTTGAATAATTAAATACTGAATATATTACTACCAAACTATTTGACACTTACCGAAAATTAAGTGTTGAAATAATAAGGTTGTTTGATAAGTATCATTATCGAATATATTAAAGCTATATATATGTGACAATTTTAACCTTGCACTTTAATATACTATTTTTTAACACAAATAAAAATATATACATAGTTGTGTTGGTGTGTATAAATAAAATTTCAATAAAAGAATCATTAATAAAAAAAAAAATGAAATAAGAAGGTGGGTGCTATCATTTGGTGGTGGGTTATGTCCAAAGAATCAATTTGTAACAGATTCTATAGATGGATGACCATAGGAAAAAGGCTTGTCAGCCGGTGAGAACACTAGCACACCAACCTCAGCACCACACTCACTTGCCTTTTGTAGATCCTAGATCTATGTTTTGAGAATGTGATTAACCTATCATCTTTGTTTTTTATCTTTTTTATTGTGATCTTTTGCCTAACTTTGGTTCACTTGCCTGCCATTAAAAGCGAAAAAAGCTTTTGGACTAAACACCAAAAAAAAGAAAAAAAAAGGATGAAATATGATAATAGAGAAGGTCTTTTCTATTTTTACAATAGGAATAATAGATATCGTTTCTCAATGAGTTTGTATAGGTAGGGTTATAAAAATATATGAAGATTATATAGTTATATTTAAAAAATTTTAAAAATCTTTCAACTAAAAACTTTAATTTTTCTAATTCAGTTAGCAGCAGAATTTATTTGTCTTTCCAATTGTAAAATTTATCTCTAAAGTCTGTCCAGTTCCAAGTAGATCCAAACATGGTTTGGGCTACTTTCCCAACCCACCAAAAATATGATGCTTTTTATTGAAAAACGGACTCTTGGCCCATAAGAAGGAGCCTACCTAGCCTGATTTTTAAGATCCATAATCTTTCAACAGCGTTCAAGGGTGGGTTGAACATGTTAATAAGTACAAAGAAAAAATAAGTATCTTTGTCACATATTTATTTATTTACTATTATCTATCATTAACCCTAAGACTAGTTTTATTCCCTTTTTAATAAATTTTTATTCCACTTTGATTTTATAATTTTCATTTAGATAAGATTTCTATCGTTTAATAACTAAGGGTATATTAAAAAAAAAACAGATATTAATATCCTATGTGTTTATTTATATAATAATTTCCTATCTTATGGGACAAATATTTTAACTTTAGACTTTCAATCTATAGTTTCATGTGTAGTGAAATATAGTTAATTTTATCACTTTTATCTGAAAATTTTCAAATTTAAAATTTCACACTTTATTATGAGATAATATAAAATAATTAAGTTAAAAACTTTTTTCACATCTAATGATTCAAGAATTTATTATTTAATTTTGTATGAAATGAGACCATTTGTATGAAATGACAAGCACAGAAGACAAGTTTTATTCTTACAAAAAAAAAAAAAAAAAAGACTTATTAACAATGCATCCAAGCGAAAATATTACTCTCTTTGTCTTAAAGAAATTGTCTTCTTTGACTTTTTAGACAATTTTAAAAAGTTATTAATTGTTATATCATATAAGAATTTTTATTTATACTTTTTTAAAATATTATTTATTTTTTTAAGATTGTTAGTTATCAAATTTAATCATGTATTACATAGAAATAATATTAACTTAAGAAAAAAATATGTTTAAAATTAAAGTGATAAATCAAAAGAATATTCATTAAGTAAATTAACAATCAAGTTTAAAACAACTATATAAAAATAACATATCAATGAAAATATTTTATTCTCAAAATTTCGACATGCAATAAAATTTCTATGAAAATAAATATTTTTTATGCAACAAATTTTTTTTTATTGAAAATATTTGAATAATATAAGAAAAAAGTATAAAGAATACTGATTTTTTGTTACTGAAGAACATGAAATAAAAAAAAAATCATTTTTTTATCAATAAAACATATTTTAGAAAATACATTAGTTAAAATTTTAACTAAATTAGATATAAATAAAAAAAATAAATATACTTATTTGTATTTATATAATACTCAAAGTTTTTCATCTGTCTTTAAATTTCTAATTGCATCTCATTGGTTTTTGAAATTTTTTGAAATGTTCAATCTGTTTTTTTGATAAAATTTTTCGATCATAAAAATTTTATGACCTAAATACTCTTTATTAAAATACAAAAAAATAATTAAAAAAAAACAAAACACTTAAAGTTATATAATCTATATGTTTCATTTTTAAGTCTTTAGAATTTTATTTCATACTTTAATCAAAAGTATTTTGGTAAATTTTGTCAAAAAAATTAATTAGGATGGTAGATTAAACATTTCAAACATTTTAAAAAATAAATAAGATATAATTAGAAACATACAAATGTATGGAAAGCTTTAAATATTATATAAAAATAGGTGAATATTATTTATCCATATAAAAAAATAACAATCTCTTTATAGCAGTGACAGAGTACTGACACCTAAAGCTTAGGACCAGAATTACATGGAGGGAACAATTAGGGTTCTATAATCTTGGGAAAGGAGGAGCATTCAGCGTATAGAGAGCCAGAAATCAAATCTTAACTTGACCCAAAACCAAACCCGAACTCGAGCTACCCAATGGACCACCCGAGATTTTAGCATTTTGGAAAGTTTCTAGAAAAGGGGAGCATCTCTGATCAACACCATGCCGGATTGAAAACCTCCGAACGTGCTGTAGAGGAAAAGAAATCCTCTCTCAAGAAGTAGAAGAGCGCTAAAAAAGGCAAAGAGAGACTGTAAGTATGATATTACCAGTGGCAAAGCTAGGAACTCTTGCTCTCAAAACATTCTGCAAGCCCATTGCCAATCGTCTTAAGAAGGAAGCAGGGTTGCACCCCAAGTTCCGTCACTTCATCATCAACATTGCCCAGGTTTTCTTTTTTTCTTTTTTCTTTTTACATTTTTTAAAAGTTACTTGCTTTATGGGTTTTGTCTAAAAAATTGTTCTTGCTAATGGTTTACCTGTTTCTTTTCTGGTTTATATTGTTTTTTGGCATTAATGGAGTTGATTGCTTGCTTGATCACTGCTAAATGTATGTTTCTAGATAATGGGTTGTTCCTCAAATTGGTAAATGTAAATATGTAATAACTTCATCATTAATCAAGTTAATTGCTTTAAGGGTTTTGTCTAAAAATTGGTTCTTGTTATTGGGTTAGCTTTTGTTTTGTGGTTCATTACTTGGTTTTGTTATTAATATGCGGTTGATGGTTTTGAACTTAGTGTATATTGAGTAATCTGTGGAACTACAGTCTTGTAAGTCAAGCAAGTTTATGTTGTTAAGAAGCATTGGAATTTTGTTGCTCTGTTAATATTTTATTCACTTTAGTAAATGCCAGATTATTTGTAATTATGGCCTTTATTATATTCAGTAGGTGAACACTGCAATACATACATGCTATTGCCATTGTTGATTTTTGTGTCATCTGCCTCCTATAGTATGAAGATTCATCCTTAATTTAGAGACAATTCTTATTTTTCTTACTTTATGCGTTGAGAATTCACATGAATTATGTTGACTTTGCAAGTCTCTCGTGATTTGGCAGAAATGTTTGGAATTTCCTTGATTTTTTAAGAGATTGAATGCTATCCATTTCCCCAATCCTCTGCAGGAAGAAATAAGGAAGAAAATTGCATTGCTAAGCTGAAGAAATTGTGATTGTCTATATATTTGCAATGAAATGAGATGTTAAGCTGAAAAATCATTATCTATATTTGCACTGTTCTTCATTGTTTCTTTTGTCCTCCAAAACATGTGTTTTTTGTAATTCATTGATTCTCTTCTCTTATTTGAAATAAAGAATGTATTTTTGTGACTGAATCAGGCAAATCATAGATTCACGACAAAAATGCAAAGACGCATTTATGGTCATTCAGTCGATGCAGTAATACGACCCTTGGATGCAGAGAAGGCTGTCCAAGCTGCTGCTGATCTTATTGGGGAGCTCTTTGTGTTTTCGGTATTGGCATTTCCCATCCTTTATCGTTTGTGTAATTTGGTACTGAAAAATCTAGCATATATCCATGGTATCAAAAGTTGATTTTATGTGTGTTTTGTTTGCGTATTTGCTTCCTATACATGAATGGTATGAGCTGCATGCTGGTTGTGGACAGTGACCATGGAGATACTAGTTGGTTCTAATACCTGCTGTTCTCACAATCTGCTATATGTTAGATGCATCAGTGCTCAACCCTACCTTGTAAGGACTAGTCACAAGTTACAATAATTTAAATGGCCTGGTATGATGTTGGACACACTACGGTGATAAAATAGCACTTCTGGATATTGTGTATCACAACTCTCCAGTTGGGTTTTTTTTTTTTTTAAATGTTACTTGTTACTGTTGCTTTTAAAAACACTAGAAAACGTGGAAGTTTTGATTTACCTGACCATGTGGGTATTTAGTTTCCACTATCATAGGGTTAATGCAATTTGATATACATGTGATAGTCCGTGGATGCACCAAGAAGCTTGTCATACTCATTTTGGTCTCATTTCAGTGAAGACTTTTTTTTCTCTCTCTCTCTCTCAAAACCTTTCTGTGAAGATTCAAAAAAGATAAATCATTGACACCTGTTTACTGCATTAAAGGGCGAGCTCGAAGCCAATTAGACCCTCATCTATGTTATTCACAAGACAATTTTTTCAGTGGTCCTGCTGAACTGTACAAACTAACTTTTCTATAAACTGGCTAAACATATTAGAAACATTATCAGGTTGCTGGAGCTGCTGTTATTTTTGAGGTGCAAAGAAGTTCCAGATCTGAAGCACGAAAGGAGGAGCAGCGAAGACAGGAAATAGAGGTATACATTTATGTGATTCCCTGATTTAGCATATTGATAGTGTATTTTGAAATTACACTTCTACTGCCATTCTTAAGCACCTTTTCAGATGCTCCTCTTATTATCCATTTTTCGTTGCATTTTTTACTCCTTTTTGCTTCTTGCCATTTGGAGGATAGATGGTTGAGAAGGGGATGAAATATAGTGGCCATAGGATGCACCATCACTAGATAAAGGGATAGCTGGCACCATGAAGATTAGGAAGTACCAAGTACTGGATGCCTCTAGAAACCTTGAAATATTAGTGGAGATATTCAGATCAAGAGTACAGGGCCTAGCTGATACCGTAATGATTTGTTATGGTGGTTTTTTGTATCTGCCGTTGCTCTTTGTGACTGATTTGCCGTATCTTGTTTTCTCATTGCACAGAACTGCAATTCTTTTAAGTGGTTGTGTCAAGTTTTAAAGTGATTAAAATACATCTTAATTCTCCTCATATATGCAATCTCAGTTTCTTTAATTGAGCTAGCACATCATAGATAGCAGTTCTAATAAATGTGCCACTTTATCATTGCCATTAAGTTTAGGAATATACAAGCATTATAACACTCTTTTTAATTTATGACTTTAAAACTATTTTCTCCAACTCTCTGTTACAGGCGATGAAGCAAAGAGATGAAGAATTAGCAAAAGAAATTCAGGTTCTCAAACAGAAACTTGATGAAGTGGAACAGCTTGCTAGAGGACGAGGACTTGGTGGCCTTTTCCATTTCAGGCACGGCCATGCTAGCGAAGATGGAAATGCGAAACCAACTTGATCACTGCAAGAACCAAGTAGAGCCAGAAGTTTACTGTAAGAACTGACCTAACTAAGTTACTTGACACCCTTGCTTCTTAGTAGGGAAAGTAATTTTCTCCTTGCCATATACTTTATATTATTTGCATTGGTTGAATACAATTCTGTGATCAATTGCGTTTATATGATAAACCTAGCTTCTGTGCCAATAAGTTGTACTTGGTTCGTTAAATTTTTTGTTTGCTTTTGCAGAACCCTGACAATACTGAATACTTTGTACAAAGGCTTCAATTATAACTCATGCGACAAGCCATCAAGTGCTTATGAAGTTTTGATTTGAGAATTCAACAGAGTCATATACTAGTGGATTTGGTTCCAATTTGTGTGTGGAAATCAATTACATATACGTTGTGCCGATGCTGGACCTCCTGCTTATTCAGTTTCTGTTGCAATTTTTCAGATATATACCATTGGATCTTAAATGAAACCCCATTTTGTCAATCTTGATTTTGCTTTAAGAAGTATTGATTAAGTTTCTTCGAACTGCCTAGCCCTAGCTGGCCTCAAAACCCAAATTTATATATAAACTCACATTATAACACTTTCTGCTCAATGTTTTAAGTGAAAAGGCATATTTCATTGATCAGTCCAGTCTGTCTGATTTCGGCCATCACTTTATCCGTTAAGATAGGATGACTGTTTTCATGCATATAGATTTTTGTTATGAATTTTGTACTCGCCATGTACATTAAAATGTTGTAGACTTTTGTTACTAGTAATTGATAGACTGGGCCTCGAGTAAGGTGAGACTACCCATGCATTTTCGTCTTTTTCGAAATAATCTTCAAGCAAAAAAGAGAAACGCTGTTTTTTGTCAAATTTTACCTGCCAGCCACTAGGAGTTGTCCGGACATAACTGAAATTAATTTGGCTGATATGGAGGCAACAAGAAGTTACTGAGTTCAACTAATTGATAATCGGTCGATGTTGGATTATGGTCGTTGACTAACGAACTTCAAGTGGGCATTCTTCAATCCACACCTTCTCACTGCAAAGAAGCAAACCTAACTTGGCTAGAGAGGGTGGTGCCATATTGGGCCTCTCTATTATTAGCATGAGAAAAGAAAATGAAGGAATCTGACATCTTAGTATCTTGTCCTATGTTGCCGACAAAAGTAGAGGACTGTAACTGGAGAGTTGACTTCATTTGCCACCATTAAACAATTAGTTTCGAGCCAAAAAAAAAAAGAAAAAGGGGGGTTGTATATCTGGCAGCCATGGCTTCTGCCACTTCTGCACTCTGCGGCTGACTTTGAAAGTTGACAGCAGACGACATGGTTTCACTTTTATCATAACGAGCAATGACCCCAGAGATCATACCATTGTTTCCAATCGCAGCATTGTAGTTTTATCACAAAATCATGGTTATTATGACCACTCTATTGCGGGCAGAAATATTAGGACTCATATTCTCCAACTTATACTCATGAAGCATTTTTAAAGACAGGCTAACCGTTGATGGAAGATTACTTTCTTCTGGAAATCAATGTGTTCCTGGCATTCCAATTTGACAAAGCCAGCATACGAAAAAGTTCCATCCTATCTCTGTCAAGGTTCTTACTCAAGAAAATTGTCCAATGTTTAAAACCATAGGGGGGGGGGGGGGGTTGAAGAATGAGAAAAAAAAAAAAAACAGAGAGAGAGAGAGAGAAGGAAAGAAAAAAAAGGGAAATTTCTGATTTAAACATACTCTTGAGTATTTTGGGCATAATTTTTTATACAAAAGTCTAATTCATACGATTATTGTGGAAAATTAAAGATAAGAAATAACGCTATAATTTATATGTTTTAATTTTGGTCTAGATTGGCTCACATTTTAGAGAAAATCGAGTTACAAATGACATCTCTAATAGATTGATAGATTGATAGCATGATTAAATCAATCCTAAAATCTTAATATAAAAGGAAACATATATTATCTATTAATGAGATTTTATATATATAGAAACACGTATTCATCCAGCAGCAAAACTCTAGCCAAAAAAAAAAAAAAAAAAAAAAGGAGAAACAGGTGAGAAAAAAAAAAAACGGACAGCTTTGGCAGCTTAGGGATGCAACTTTGGGCAAGCTTTTCTCATTAATTCTCCAACTATTTTAGCCATTTTAAATATTTTATTGTAGAAGGTATAATACTTTTCTTTCTATACTTTTAGTTTAAAAAATACATTAGTTTTTTTACCCATACTATTGTACTTGTAAATCGGATAAAATACATAAACTTATTTTTAAAAAATTATTTTAATTTGACGCTCAGTATTATACTGTACATATATTAAAATATATCAAATTAAAAATGAATAAAAATTTATTTAATTTTATAATCAAAATTTTGAATTTTACGGATTATTCTTTATATTTTTTATAAATTTTTGAAACATTATTTTTTATTTTTTATAAATTTTTGAAACATTATTTATTTATCTCTATCTACAAAGTAAAAAATTTATAATAATATAAAAAATGTCAAAATCAATGAATTCTTAGCTAAAAACTTATTTTGTAAATTATTTTTTCTAAACATTTTTTTGCTTTAGAATTTTTAATTAAAAAATATAAAAAAAGATCAAAGTGATCAAATGAAATAAAAAAAGAGATCAAGATGAAATAAAAAATATTTACGGATTAAAAAAATAATGTTTAAAAAAGAAAAATTAAAGCATAATATCACAAAAGTTTTTATCATAAATAACTTTAAAATATTTAAAAACTATAAAAAATAATTATATAGTAAAAAAAATAATGTATCTGAATTTTAATAAATGAATCTAGATGAATAATATTTTAAATAATTCACTACAAGATAGTTTAGTGAGTTTTATTTATAATATATTTGAAAATGGTTTGAATTTCATGCATAAGCAAATTCTTTTTATTTGTTTTTTGTAAGTGATAAGTGTCAGCATTAATGATACTCAACTTTATGAGGCCCATTTCGTCTTTAGTCCAAATCGTTTCTTTGCTTTTTGCATTCCCTATGCTTCTAGCTTTCTTAGGACAATTCCTTGACGTGGATATGCCTTTTTGTGATTCGAGTATTATGGTACCGATAATTTTCTATCTGTAAGCTTTGTTTTCTATGGAGGCGGTTAGAAGAGTTTTCTCTGGAAAGTCTGGATAGATCCTTATTTTTTTTTGTTCATTTATGTCACGATAGTAATTTTGTATCCTACGATTAGGGCAACCAATTTCAACTAGGATCATGTCTTCTTCCACGTAGGTTAGGAAGAATGAATTCATTTCAGTAGAAATCTTTAGGATTGTTCTGTACGCTCGTAAAATTTCATCTAAGAGTTTTGTTCATTTTTTTTAGGATTCTCGATCTTTTTCTTAAATTCATGCAAGAAGATTCTGTTAATATGAACGCTATCAATAAATAAATAAATATTTTTATTTTTAAATAAAAAATTTAGATGTAGTAAGTTAAATGAAATTAAGATAAATTAGGATTAGTTTAATTTGGTGAGTAAATTATAAATTAGTTCCTCCAATTTTTGAGAAGCAAATTAATTATTTTTTTATTTAAAAAACTAATTATTTAATCATTTTTATCTATTTTATGTTTTTTTTTAATTTTTTTAAAAAATAAAAAAAATAAATATAATGAAAGGATTGATAAAAAAATAATTTTTAAAATAAATTAATATTAAATTAAATATAAAAAATTAAATAATTAATTTTTTAAACAAGGATGATTAATTAATTTTTTTTTTTTTTGTCAAAACTAGAGGAACTAATTTATAATTTATTCGTAACTTGATCCATGACCGTATATGCTGGCTTTAGGTACAAAATTACATATACAATAAATATTTTTACTTTTCAGGATACAGGAAGACAAGGGTATTGACCAGACAAACCTTTTGCTTTTGCAGTTTGGTGAGCATCAAACCTTCTACCCCGTTCAAATCGAAAACCATAATATAATACAGTCAGTGCTAAAACCTCTATCTTTCTGGAATCTCCTCCCCATCAGAAAGACCTGTGCTTCTGTCGTACTTCTTTCTTCTGAGGTACTAAATTTCTTGTCTTGCTTTCTGTTTTTATTTTTTATTTTTTAGTTTAATTTATGCTTATCGTTTTTGTTTAACTATGCTTTTGTGAAGATTGGCGCGCATTGGTTTCTGGATTTTTGTTTAATGTTTTAGATAAAATCACTTCTTTTTTTTTTTTTTTGGTGATTTCTGTGCTTATTGTAAGAGGGGAAAAAATTGATATATGTTTTATGCCTAAGTGAGACGGGTTTTGATTTTGATGTTTAGTTAGATTTGGGTGCTGGTTATGTTAGGGTTTTGAGGGTTGAGACAAGTGGCAAAAAGGTATCTTTAGATCACTTGAATTGAGGGTTTCTTAGTTTATTTTATCCCCTGGATTTTGTCTCCTGGCAAGGTTGTATACTGTGCTTTTTCAGTTATGTATGCATCCTGTTTTGGATGCTTAATGTTGAAAAGAAGTATTGATTTTTGGTTTGAAAGTTGAGTGTTTGATTCTGGTTTGTTTTAGGATTTTGAGGAAGGAGAAGGTCAATGCAGAAAGATACGAAGAGTAAATGTACATCTACATCGCACCATCGGTTGATGGACAATGCAAAAAACCGGCTGAATGATCTTCAGGAAAGATTCTTTAACCTTCAAGCTGCCAGGAAAGAGGGCCGGAATAGTGATGTTGCTGTGTTGGAGGAGCAGGTCTATCAAAGTCTTCGTGAGTGGAAAGCTGAGCTTAATGTGCCATCACCTGCCAATTCGTTGCCTGTTAGTGTCTCTTATTTGCTACTATTAATAATGAAATATATATGTGTTGGCTGTCTGTGTGGGGTTGTTATTAAAGAATTTTGATGAGTTGATTTGTAATGGGTATTTTGTAGGATATCAGTCTGGGATCCTTTTCAGATGATATAGGTCGCTTGTTGCAATTGTATGAGGAGGAAGATGATGCCACCAGTCCATTAACAATACAGTCAGTTTTGAAGCCAGAAACGCAGCCTGAGCCCAATTTTCAAAACCTTAATCTTGGCAATTTAGCAACCTTTCAAGATGTAAGATCCTTTTGGGGATTATTATAATGTTCTTCTGACTAGTAAGTTGTAGAAATGCAGCACACTTCACAGGTCATACCATATTGGTTCTTTATACGACACACACTTTCATTGATTTAAAAGACCACATCATGATAACCTGTAACAGTAAAGAAATTGAAGTTTAAGTCTTGCATTGTATTTTTCTCGTTTATGGATATGGAAATTGGAAAAATTCACATTGTATTTTCCTCAGAGATTATGCATGCGTTCTCATATCATTTAACTTTGAAGTTTGATGCCATAGTTCACATGAGGATTGTAGACTGTCTTTTTTGCCGGTTATGTGCTCCTGCACATTATATCTGTTACTTTTTTTTTTCCCCCTTTGAAAGAAAAAGCCAATTGCTTGAAGAAGCTAATTTAGTGAAGCCAATGTGAGAATTATTATAAGGCTGAGAAGGTGATTTCATGTGTTGCAAGTTTCATAGGGGAAACTTAATTTACTAGCGTTGTGGTTTGTTCAAGTCCTTACACATCTTTATGATAAAACTTTAAGACCAATAGATGAGACCATCCAAGTGTTGAGAAAACTGCAAGACCTGTCCTGATTTGATTTTGGGAAGCTACATGTCCAAGACTACGACAACAATAAAGATTTGGAAGGGCAGTAATTTTTAAATGCATAATTCATAACACTCGAGCTGATTTTTGTTAATGATTTGAGCTTTTACCAAGATTCATTTTACTTTATTTATTTATTTATTTATTTTTATTTTTTTTTCCATTTATATGTCCATGGGTAATTTAAGTAATCAACCAGAGTATTCATTTTCTGTCATTCAAATTATATGCTGTTGTTTTCCCTCTTTGAGAGCTCCTAGTGCCCTCAGTTTTGATCTTTCATGGCATAAAGATATAGTCAGTGATGGCTGATGAGCATAATACAATTGCATTTCAGGAATACGTGGTCACTAGTCATACTCATAGTCAGGGGCTTGGTTTTCAAGGGTTCCATCAACCCAATGGCTCCCCCTCAGGTTTGCAAAGTCTAGCCGTCGGTGCTCCTGATATAACTACCTTATTGGATTGTCAAGACTTCACTTTGGATGAAGAATTCGACCCTGGGCTTTTTGTTGGCACCAATGACACTGAAGAATCTGGAAAAAATGCAGAGAGTAACAATCTGCAGTATATCAGCCCTCCACCGTCTGCTTTCATGGGGCCCAAATGTGCATTATGGGACTGCACCAGGCCTGCTCTAGGAGCTGAATTGTGCGAGGACTACTGTAGCAGCTTTCATGCTACCCTGGCCTTAAATGAAGGCCCCCCTGGCATGACTCCAGTTTTGCGACCCAGAGGCATTAATTTGAAGGATAATTTACTATTTGATGTTCTTATTGCAAAGATGCAGGGTAAGAATGTCGGTATTCCTCAATGTGAAGGGGCTGCTATTATGAAATCCCCATGGAATGCTGCTGGTAAGCCTACATGCACACCTCCCCGTCTCCTTTTTGCTTAATTTTCAAGTTCAATTTCATGATATCATATTCGTTCTGCGGCATTCTTGCTCTTACTCAGTAATGGTGAACAATTCATTATGATATGGTATAAGATTCATCTGTAGATTCAGATCTCTCTGTGGTATGCTAATTATGTTTCTTCAGGCGACTTAATATGGTAGAGAAATCTGCTGTTGTTTATTTTGGCTAATTCATTTTGTTTCCTTGTCGCAGAGCTATTTGATCTTTCATTACTTGAAGGTGAAACAATTAGGGAGTGGCTCTTTTTTGATAAGCCTAGAAGGGCATTTGACAGTGGAAACAGGAAGCAGAGATCATTGCCAGACTACAGTGGGCGTGGTTGGCATGAATCAAGAAAGCAGGTGATGAAGGAGCTTGGGGGGCATAAGAAGTCCTATTATATGGACCCACAACCTCCAGGCTGTCATGAGTGGCATTTATTTGAATATGAGATCAACAACTGCGATGCATGTGCATTATATAGGTTAGAACTCAAGCTTGCTGATGGAAAGAAGACTCCTAAAGGAAAAGTTTCAAAGGATTCACTTGCCGATCTGCAGAAGAAGATGGGAAGGCTCACCGCTGTTGTAACTGCAGATAATAGTCCCTCTGTAAAGGGAAAGACAAAGACTGATAGAGAAGCTGATTCTGGAGAGGTTAATTTTGCTCAAGATCAGAAAACTTATGGCACTGGCCTGGGGCCATGATCCTGGTATCATTTTCAAAATAGGTTTGGCTTAACCATGGAACATAGTAGCAGAATCTTGCCTGATTGTGGAAACTAACACAATTCTATAACAAGGTATTGCTGATGATTCTTTGACAAGGAATGAATGCCTGATGGTTTTGCAAAGCAGTTAGTTTACTGCCTTAGTAACATCTTGGCGGTACTTTCCAGCTAGCAATGGAAAACTCCCATCCATTCTGTTGATTTGGAGAGACATCTTAGTTTGCTGGATATATTACTGGCAGATAATTAGTGTACATAGTAATCGACTACACCATCAATAATTAAGTTGGAGACAAAGGTGAATACTGAGAGGATTTCTTATAGTGTACAGTAGATACCGATACTAGTATTTTTGTGTTCCCAGCTATCATTAGGTAAGTCTCTCTCTCTCTCTCTCTCTCTCTCTCTCTCTCTCTCTCTCTATATATATATATATATATAATGATGCTGACAAAACATATTTGAAGTCAAGATGATGTGCGTCATTTTACTTCTTTAGAATTATGCGGTGAAGGCTGAATGCAGTCAGGCTTCCCTCTGCTCTTGAATAATGTTGATGGATGTCTGCTATTATTCAACTTTGCTGCCCAGTCCTTTTGTGCTCTTTTTTGTGCGGTCTTGGGTTTCTGTCTTGTTCTTGTAGGAAAGTAATGGTTGTTTTGTCTATGTTCGATTGTCATGCAGCATGGACAAGCAGGTTCATGATACCTGTGATCATCATCCACATTCTGCAATTCATAAGAGATAAGAGTAAATTATTCTGTAGTCCCCAAGTTTTCAATGTAATTATAACTCAGTCTTTCATGTTTGAAAACCTCTAACTTATTCCTTTGACTTTAGTTGACTATGTTGTTATTAGAACATTTGTTGGTTTTTTTTCTTGATCGCAAATGCATCACCTGAGTATTTAAATTCGTAGAGAAAAACAACATTGCGAGAGTTTTGAGAAAAACCAATTATGGTCAACAAGATTCGAGGGACTGATGTATAGGTTTTCTATATATATATATATATATAAATATATAAAGGACTGCATTAAAAATAAGAGTCAGAAGAATAATTCAGAGTAAATTATAAATTAGTCCCTTTATTTTGAAATATGAATTACTTTTTTTAAAAAAACAACTATTTATTAAGTTTTTTTTTGTTGGCGTTGACCACAAAATTTAATTTTTTATTTAAAAAAATGTTATTTTTTGCATCAACTCTTTCATTTTTTTACTTATTGTTTGTTAAAACAAAAATTAAATAAATTGAAAAATAATAAAAATAATTGAGTTAACAAAATTAAAGATATAAAGACTACTTCTCAAAATTAGAGGGACTAATTAATTAAGTCACTCTAAAATAATGATTGCCCAGATGTACCTTTACTAGATTTGAATGGTCTTTGTATTGTAAGCAGTTGCTGCTAAGAATGGCAATGGGCGGGGTGGGGCCGGGGATGGCTATCATTGTCCCTATCTTGGCCTCGCGAGAGGCAGGAGATGGGGATTCTTATGGGGGCACCGAGGATCCTTATGGGGTATTGGTGCCCTGCTTAATTCTTTGCACCTGCCTCACTTCATGTTACTTCATTTTACGTCATTTTATCTTGTATTAAATTTTAAATTATACTAAAAAGATAATTCATATAAAAAATACAATTAAGAAAGATAATTATTTAATATCATGTTGAACTACAGGTTTATAAAATATAACTTATAATATATTAAATTATTTTTAATTGAATAAATAATATATTTAATTAAGTTGATGAAGTATCATAAATATAATTAAAAATATAAATTTTTGTATGTTTTTATTACTTAGAGATTATTAAAGTTTATTCATTATATTGGGGATTAGTTTATAGCTTGAGAGGTTGTATATATGTTGAGTATAATGCAAATTTCCAAAGAAAAGGATGGGACGAGGCAGACAAATATCATCCATGTCTCATCTCCGCTTAAAGTAATGCCTCGTTGCATTTTCCAGTTAACTCAAAGAATCCTCATGTTGATCAAGGCATGGCAAATTATCATCCCTAGTTGTTGAATGAAGTTTATCTACTAACTTAAGCACTAATTTTTTTTATATTGAATTAATTTATTTAATGTAGATCTTCCACTAATGATCTTTTGATCTTGCTGACATCATTAGTTATTTTTTTTTCAATTTTAATAAATATTTTCTGCAATAAAAAATGATGATCAATATTTCTTCTTTTTTTTAATTTTTGTTTTCTAATTTCAACAAATGCTTTTCACAATAATTTTTTTTTAAAAAAATTCTAATTTCCATAAATGCTTTCTGTAATAAAAAATAATGATGAATCTTTAATTTTTTTTTTGATTTTTTAATTTCAATAAATGATTTTTGTAATAAAGGAATTTTGAATTTCTTTTTTCCAATTTCAATAAATACTTTCTGCAATAAAAATTGGTGATGAATCTTTAATTTTTTTTTTCTAATTTCAATAAATACTTTCTGTAATAAAAAACACTGAGGAATCTTTTATTTTTTTTAGCGTGAGCCCTTCAAGTGGCCAAAGGTTAATTGGCATATTAAAGTTAAACAATCACACCTGCCTTTTAGCTTCATTAGTTAAACCAGGAAATAATGGATGGGCTTTAAGCAACATCAAATCCAACACATTACGAGGCATGTTGCAGAGATTAAAGTTCAAACAGCCTTCAAAAGAGTAATCATCCAAGAAGAACTCGAAGTTATTTCATTGAAAATGTTTACGTAAGAGGACTCCGTACTCTTCTTATTGATTAAGAACTCTGACAGTTCTGCACGGTTGGCCTTGATATCACTGCCAACCTCACTGCCTTCCTCCATTACAGTCCTCGCAGACTTGTAAACACTTTCCTTGGTGAACAACCCATCTTCTTCTCCTTTCTCTACTTCCACTCCAACCTTCAAATTTAAGCTCAATAATCTTGCATCACTACAACAAAAAACCCGTATAGAGGTGGATTTCTTGAGGCGGTTTTAAAAACCCCCTCAAAGTGTTTTAGTAGTATACTTTTATTAAACAAATTTGAGTCGGTTTAGAAAACCGTCCCAAATTTTATCGAGGCGCTAGTTTTATTCATGAAAGAATTTTTTATCTTGATTTTTTTTTGTTTGGTTCTGAAACGGCAAAATTAATCTCTGTCATCTTCCCTCTCCTTAATTAGGGTTTTCGAGCTTCTCCTTCTAAATTTCTTATTCTCCTCGAGTTGTTGCGTCTTTTTTCTCTTTGGCTTCCTCATTTTTGATTTTCTTTAGTTCCGAAAGGGGAAGATCTAATCGAGAGCTTTCTTTCAGTCGAGGTTCTTCTTCTCTCGCTTCTTCCATCTTCTTCTCTCGCTTCTTCTTTCTTTTTCTTTTTTTGGTTCGAAAGGGAAAAGAACGCCACATTATCCTTCTCCTTTTAGGGTTTTTCTTCTCCTCCCTACATTATCCCTCTCCTTTTAGGGTTTTTCTTCTCCTTTGTTTATTGAATCTTCTCCTCTTCTTCTTCGTTCTTCTCCTCTCGCTTTGTGCTTCTTTTCCTCTCGCTTATTTGTTCTTCTCCTCTCCTTCGTCCTTGTCTCCTTTTTGTTAGAAACGAAATTATAGCTATCCTCTAAATCAATTGGGTACTCATTGTTGAGGCGGATTTCTTTGATCTCTGTAATGGTAAGTACGCTAAGTTTAATTTTGTGGCCAATCAATTAGATTACCGACTCTTTTCTTCTCTAATTCCTTTGAAATTTTCAATCTAATATGCTACTATCTTGTTCTTATTTTGTGACTTACAGCTAGAGCACCGGGGAAGCAAGAACGATTGTCTTCAAAAGAATTCCCAAGCTGGAGAAGGATCGTTACTTTAAGTCCTAAAAGCATCCGTGTATCCCAAGGCAATCCTAAGGTAATGTGACTTTCCTATTAAGAAACTTGCTTGAAAGAAGAAGTTTTCAATTCTTATTTGAATTGTTGTGTCACCGACGAATCATGAGGAGGAAACCTATAGTTTTGATGTTTTATGTTTAGTTCGTGTGCTTGGGAATTCTTGCTTCCTTCTTGTGAATTATGGCCTCCAACGCATGATTCTTATATATTGATTCAACATGCAAGATTTGAAGTGTTCTTTGATTGAAGTTGAACCGACCTTTATTCCTTTCACGCCTATGTGTTCTATTTTTTTTTCTGTCTAGCATCTCTCGGTTCTTCCACTACGGTGATACTCGTTGCAGGTTGTGTCATTATCTAAACTTTAATCCGAGTATGATCTTACTACACTTGCTCGGTAAAAAGAACTAAGAAAGTATAACCAATGCATCTTACTTGTATTGAAATGGTCTAATTTTCTTTGGTGAAGATTTAAATTTTTGTTCTGAATTTTTCATATAATCTGTCGAGTTTATTTGCTTCATTTTATTAGCTAACCGATTCTTGAAATCACGAATTATGGTAAATGTTGTCCGAAAAAAAAATAGTTTTTACTGAAAAACTGAAATTTCGGTTTCATAAACTGGATGCAAATTCAGTTCGGATTTGGTTTTTGTTTGGTTTTTCTTTTGGTGCATTTGGTTAATCGAAAACCGAATGGAAATGTTAAAACTAAAACTAAAAAGCTGAATGCTCACCCCTAGTTATATCATTTTACTTAGGAAAATTACAATGCTTTAACAAGTGGGAATTTTAGTTTTGCTACTTTTTCCCTTGTACTCGAAAGCATTAAGTTGGAATTCATCTACCCCTCCCCCATTCTTAGCAAAGCTTCTTTTTACTCACGAAGCAACCAAACACCATAGCCATCCCCACCGGACTTATGCAAGAGGTTTTGCTCCTCGTATAAACGAGTTCCTCATCAAGATTGTTAGTTGAGTAGTACATGTTAAAAATCCTTGGTTTTGGTTCCTCCACTTGCAAGCAAACATGCCATTGAAGATTATTGGGATTTTTTATGTCCTACAATCCTATAGATTTTATTTATGATCTCACGTGAATTGCAAGTAATCC